TTTTTTTTTTTTTTTTTTTTTTTTTTTTTTTTTTTTTTTTTCTTTCCTTTCTGCAACTCTTATACGAGAGGCGCGCGCTTGCCCCGTACAAGCGTTACCGACTTTACTTTATGATAGAAATTTGATGCACGACGAATTTCACGCAAATGATAACAATAATAATGTTTTTAATTGAAAAAAACGCAATGCGCTCTCGAAGCGAGATCAGCAGTGGCAATAAATTAAAAATAAGAAATGGCACGGGCGAGAAGTAACTGGAGCGGCAGTAGGAGCGATGAAACAACTTTACGAAGAGCCATCGATCTCCGAAGGATGAAAATTGGCAACGAAAACGACCGTCAACTTTACCAATAAACCGCAGTGCCTTACATGTGTACATAAAAATGTATAATGCGCCCAACAAAGTGTCAAAGTAAAAATTTATCGGACAAAGTATTTTTTTTTTTTTTTTTCTTTTCGAGGCGTGCCTCTCTCTGTATACATTCGCGTTAGTTTTATACTCTGAGGATGACTACTCGGACTCGGTCGAGGATCGTTTCAAGGATATCGGTGTATATGTATGGTTTAGCGAACTCGTGCACTAAAAAAAAAAAAAAAAAAACAACAACAACAACAAAGCTCGACTTTAAAACAACAAGCTCGTACTTGATGTACGTGTGTGTTTTTCCATACATAACATCGACCCACTGAAAATTTGCTAACAAAGATTATTAAAAAAATTTCTCTCATCTGCGAGCGAGAAAATTTAATAACCTTTAAATACATAGTTTCAGTGCAAGACGGCGATACTATATGCTCATGTGTGTTTTGTGATTATAATATTGATGATGGAGAGAGAGCGTGCCGATGGTGGAATTTAAGCGCTTATTTGACGTGCATTCACATTTATATATACATATATTTATAAATAGATAAAAAAAAAAAAAAAAAAGGGTTTTTTTTCCTTTTCTTTTTTTAAATTTTACCTTCCTTTTTCCAAAAACGGAAAAAACAACTATAGTAACGGGAGTCGGGAGCTTGCGAGCTCGACAACTGCCAACGAAATCCTCATAAACTGAACGAAACTAAACTAAACTAAAGAATAAAAAAACAGAGAGAAAAAAAAAAAAAATAGGAAAACGAAAGAAAATGGAAAAACCCAGCGAGTCTAACCTGCAGGGGACTGCTGCCGTTGCTGCCGCTCGAGGGCGCGAGCCCGTCGTGTCCCGAGCCGTGGTGCCCGTAATCGCTGCGCAAGAGGTTCTCGCTCTGCATCTTGCTCTTGAGGCACGTTATGTAACGATTGCAGAAATCCTTGCAGAGCTCTTGCACTTTTTCCAACTCGAGCAGATGGATCCGCAGTACCTGGATGGCCTTGATCATCTGCGGAAAAATAAAAGAGAGCGCGCCCCCCCCAAGGAGGAGAGCAACGGGAGCCAAATGAATGACGATTGTTGTGTATACCGCGTGCTTTAGAAAAAAAAAAAATTAATTTTCCCTTCCCTCCCCACCGCGACCCCTTAACTCCCGATATATAACCGCGTGGTACATGTACAACGTGCAGGGTGACTTTAACCCTTCAAAAGAGAGAAAAAAAAAAAAAAAAAAAAAAAAACATTTTCAACTCGGGCCGGGAAAAATTTCTCGAAAACTTTCGTAATTGCGCGCATTGTAATGAAAGTTAAGACGAAGCTCGCTCGAAAGAGAGATATTAACGGGAGGGTCGTTAAACGCATACATACACACATATACACGGAGAGGTTGCATTTGAAGTTGCACGCGCGCCCGTGTACACGTACATATATATATATATATATGTATAAAGGATTAAAACACGATTGTAGTATACATGTGTATATATATACATATATATATATACCTGGTATAGCTCGCGGGTTTTCATATAAAACTTGGTAAGGCGGAGCGGGAAGAGTCGATGCAGGATTAAAATAGCCGGAGCTAAGGGAATTTCGTGCTTCGTGCAAGACGCCGCGAATTTCCATCTCATAGGGAATTTCCGAAAGGGCCGCGTAAACTTTTTACAGAGGAGCCGAGAGAGCCTCGAACTTTGTACATTACATTTTAATCAAATTTCCTCGGGGAGAAAAAGTCTCTTTTATCTCCCGTCTATTTAGCTGTGCAGTCCCTCGAGCTATCCATATTGTATACGCAAGCAGCAGATGAAGGAGGGACGAGAAAAGTAAGAAAAAAAAAGAAAGAAAAAAAAAGGCGTACCAGGCCGTCAATCTCCGGGTCATTGGTGAGAAAGGGCTTCCTGTCCCGTTCCTGGTGCTGCACGAAAGCTTGTATGTCCATGTTGAAGCTCTCGGCCATGGAGCCGTCCGAGCTCTGGGTGGCCTGCTCGCATCTCTCGAACAACAGGGCCAGCAGGGGGAACAGCGGGTGCTTGTACACGGCCCGCTTGTCCGCCTCGAATTGCGCCTGGTCCTGCTGGTGGTTCGCGTAATCGGCCACCCCGCTCGCTGGGTCCTGATCGTAACCAGGGGTCACCATAGCTAGCGCCACCGCTGTGCTGCCCTCTTGCATGATCCTATCATTCCTCATATAAATTTTTACAAATACGTGATTATGGGGGGGTGCGGCTCGTATATGGTCCTCCACTAGTGGAATTTTCCTTCGCTCCGTCTGTGCCCGGGTGGTGCCGGCTACCTGCGCTCCGGCGATAACGATGCACCCCGCATCCTCTCCGCACGCTCGACCTCTGTAAACAATAAATGCAATTTTCATCGTTAAAAAAAAAACAAAAAAACTCTATTTACACCTTTCGCCTTTGTTGAGCTGCATCAAACAGCCTCTCTCCACTGTATATACAAAATATAACATGTACAATATCCTCACTATTTCTCTCTTTCTGGCTGTGCATGACAACAACCACCTAATGTACTCGTATAACGTTAATATTGAGCATCGGTGTGTGTAGCATGTACCTCCGAGAAAAAAAAAAAACAACAAAAAAACGCGAAAAATCACGTAAGTACTTCCGCGTTGAACCTCGTTGATTTTCGTGTTGAAAAAAAAAAAGGACAGCCTCCCCCCCCCTTGTGAGGTAGGTATATGTGGAAGAGAGATGAAAACGAGTATGGGAGGAAGAGAAAAAAAAAGAGAGAGAGAGAGAGAGTTTTGATTAAGTATTCATTGCGAGAAAGAAGGGCGTACGTCGATCTCGATTCCCGCGGCGCGTGAATGCACCTTTATCCCTCCCCCGTAGGTATAGGTATGAGTATGTGTATGTACATGTGTATACATATCAGAGGGTACAGCCGCGCAGCAGCAGAGAGAGAGGATAGCGAGGAGAGGAAGAAGAGCCAGAGGCACCGAACGAGCTCCACTGCATTTAAATGTCATCATTAAGGAACAGGAGAGAGAGAGCTTGCGAGCTTTTCGTCCCTCTCTCTCTCTCTCTCTCTCGTCCTGCTGTCGCGACTCTCTCTCTCTCTCTCTCGCCCTAACTTGTATATAAAGAACGCGAGGAGGCGCCGAAAGACGTTTCGGTATCTCTCCCTCCGTCGAGCTTTTCCCGGCTTCTTTGCCGTATATATATAGGAGGGAAATTCTTCCGCGCGCGCGTGGATTCCGAAATTTTTCGCTTTTCCTCTCGCCTTTTTCTCGGGTATATGTGCTTACGGGGAGGATTTTTAATGAAAAAATTTTTTTTTCCGGAATCCCCTCGGCCAGAAAAATAGAGAGAGAAAGAGCTTGCGACCAAAGGAGCTTAATGTCTATTATTTTTGTACACTGGTCCGATTATTTATCGGAATAAAAAATGCACGTGTGTAAGGACGAAAGAGATAAGGGGAAAAGATCTCGTTTTTCGCGTGGTAGGAGCAATTTTGTTCAACAATGTCCAAGGGGCAACGTGTATCTTATATAGGTATTACTTTTTTTTTGTTTTTTTTTGTTTTGCGGTGGTAACCGGTAATAACGTATAGCGAAACGTTTTAAAAACGATTAATAATGATACACTGCGCGCCATACACATCGAAAATACGTAAACGCCGAGGGGGAGGGGACAAGCGCATCGGCTATCATGTACGCGACGGCGACGACGAAGTGAGCGAATGACGGATAATTCGTATTATTGGGGCCCCGAGAGCGAGCCAGTTTCAATTATCCCGCGAATGCCGTATTATATACGACTCGTATGTATATGTATATATATATATATATGGCTCTTCCTACACCGTATATACATATACATGTATAAGTAGAGATAATCAACTTTGACCTTCCCGACACAAAGCGTATCGCAAAAATGATGATCCATCCCTTTGGCTCCGAGCAAATTAAAATTTCTCAAAAGTATCGCTTAAATTTCCACCCTCGCTGCTGTGATTCATTACTTTTTTTAAAAATACATACCCTCCCTCCTTCTTTATTCACATATTTGTTTATTATTACTTTGGACTTGGCAAACTGTGACTAGGTTGTATTACAAAAATTATAATTCTCATTGTAATTCCCTTATTTATTGTCATATAATTTCTCACGCGATTATTACGAGTACAGATTGGAAGATGAGATTGCGAGCAAAATAAGCCCTATGTCGAGGGTGCGCCTCAAAAAACAAAATTTCTAATGAAAAACGTATGACACATTATGGAGAATTTTTGTGGATCTCCTCGTGTATAATTAACGTGCATCGCTCGTTAATTTTTCAACTCGCCAAGCTATATATACATGCTACATCCGTACACCATACCTTGTATATATAGGTATATACGTCTAACCAATGCAAAAGAGTTTGAGAGAGTTTTCAAGTATACGTAGGGGGTGAGGCCCAGGGAAAACGGCGCCGAAACTCCCTCTCGCCCTGTATATTTTCCCTCCTCTCGTCGCGTGAATAAATAAAGCAGCGCCGAAGACACTTCTCCGTGCCGCTGCTGTTGCTCTTATAAGTACCTACACGCGCATGGGTAGGGGTCGCGTGACGGAAACCCCCGCGTTACATACACACACAACGTGTTTTTCTTTTTCTTCTCTCTCTCTCTCTCTCTCTCTCTCTTTGGGATTACTGCTGAGTTCGCGCGTACGGGGCATGCAAAATTGGATATTTTTTTCGAAAAAAAATCCCGGTGTAGCACGAATATCTCTTCTTCCGATACAGGGATTTCTCTTTTTTTTTTTTTTTTTTTTTTTTCGTTCCCCGGAGCGCACGCAAGCGTTTTTCGATCGACATTTATACATATGTACATCGCGATGAAAAAAAAAAGGGAAAAATATTCCTCGCTCGCAACGTAATGTGGGCGTATCAGGAGGGTGCGCTCCTCTCCCGACCCTATTTGTATCGGGATCAGATAACCCGCCGAATTTCGGTGAGATAAGAGAGAGCGCTGTACCTCCTCGAGGAAATCATCATCCGTGCGCGCGTACTTATTCATGGTACGATTATCGAACGCTCCAATCCCAGCTGGTTGATTGTGTATCGAGGAAAAAAAAAAAAAAAAAAAAAAAAAAAAAAAGAAAAAGGTGAAACACCTCTCTATATTTATACTTGTACATCAGCCCGCACGAAGAATCGTTAATCACGCGAATTAGCGATATCTCGCGAATGAGCATACGTTCACGGGCTGACTTTGTCTCTCATACGATCACACACGCAAGTAGGTATAGGTACAGGCGTTTGGTTGATTTTGTTTATCAGAAAAACTTTTCGAGCGCGTGTATTTTTATACACACGAGCGTGAAATCAATCGGCGTTCAAGCGAGACGTCGAACACGGGGTGGGGGGGACAGGTGATTTTTTGTATCTTTCTTTTTTTTTTTCTTTAGTTTTCAAAACCCGTACGCGCTCGCAGGCGTGAGTTACATGGCATACCACCTGTGTATAATGCGTACGGGCAGCTCGAGGCCGCTATCGATCGCGAGATTGAAGCTGATGAAAGGGTTTTATTTATTTATTTGTTTTGTTTTCAATTCAATTTTTGAGAACTAATTTTTTTTTTTACTCATTACAAGCAGTTGCGGACAGAGAAACAAAGTTCTTTACACGCGTATTAATAAAGAAGAGGAAAATAATAACGACTAAACGATTCGCGCCGATGAGTAACGAGCACATACATATAGTTTAACTCTCATTAAACACCTTACGAAGGCACAAACGATGCGGGGGGGGGGAACACCCCGTGAGCGTCCTTCCAGCGAAACGCGAGAAAATTGAGCTCGCGGCGGGGAATGCAAATTTCTGATTTCCAAAAATTGCGATCGGGAACCTAAAATCACCGAGAAAAAAAAAACAACATTACCTCCCGACATACGAAATTACATCACTCGCGTCGGAGAGGGGCGACGACTTTGCGCGCATCTCCGAATGAAAAAAAAAAAAAAAAAAAAAACAAGCCTCCGCTCGCAATTACCCAATCAAAAACCAATTACCGATCTCTCTGGAACAAAGTCCGCGCGAGGAGGAGAGAAGGAGGAAAAAAAAAAAGCTAGAAGCCGGGGGCCAAATTAAACGAAAAAAATATATAAGAGAGGCGAACCAGCGATGAAGTCGAAGGTTTCACGTGTACACACATCTTGCAATAAAGCAAAAATCCAGAGAGAGAGAGAGAGAAGAATGGCCAAGGCTGCCGTTGTTCTCGTGCTCTCACGCAAAACGTCCGTTCGGAGTTTCCGTCTCCCTGGCCCTCGTGCAAAGAAGAAGAAGAAGAAGAATAGGGGAGTCAGGCCGGAGGAGAGAGAAATGAAAGAGGCGCCCGCGCCATTACTCGCAAGTGGCGCTTCTTGCCGCCCCCTATATATGAAGCTAGATATGGCCCCTCTGTCTCTCTTTTTACTGCTACCCCATCCGCACCTTTCGATACATTTATCGCGAGGCAGACTCATGGATTTGGTAAATTTGGTAGTACAAAATGTAAAAATTTATGCAATTTTTTTTTTTTTTTTTTTCAACGAATACAATACCAGCTCGACTGATTTCGCACCTCGTCAAAAAATAAAAAATCCCATCCAATTAGCTCCCATGAACAAGTAAGTACGAGAAATAACCTGCGTTTCCTCTGTTTCGCTATAATTACTCAATAAAAAAAAAAACGTTTGCGCATCTCGGAGTACCGATGCGTATTTTTATTAATATTATCATTGACGTTTGCTCGAGTGAATAATCGCGTTATGTACCCATTCACCTGTAATTACCCTGTTTTCGGTAAACGACTCCCGATCAAGTTATACACGTACAGGAGTTCACGAGGATGTTTTGCTTGATCCATCGAAGCGATAAAATCATAACAGGTGTTTCATATACGCTCTCGCTGCACCCTCGCGAACAAACTCTTTCATAAACATTTACTTATACACGCGGTCATTTGTTTCCCTCCTCACTTTGTACACTTGTATACACCCTCTCCCATTACATAATATATTATATATAATAATGCACGCGTGTATACACGCGTAATATACTATACTTATACGAGAAAGCTCGTAAATTCAAGCTCTTTGATACTTACTTAAGTGCGGGTATACTTATAGGAATATGTATATATATATACTAACAGCTAAGGAGAGAGAGAGTGATTTGTCGGTCGTAATGAAGAGCATCAGCGCGCGTATTCAGACAGGAGCTGAGCAGGAGACTCCCCGTGCCGTGTGTATATACGTCACCCATGCATTTACTACCGACTCTCTCTCTCTCTCTCTCAATGGTCCTTTAGTCAAACAACCCTCACCTCACCCCCTCGACGTCTCGTTGACACGATCCTCAACTGGCGTGTGAGAGTCGATTGTCGTTATTATAGGGTTTACGGTGCGCACTTGATTCATTTAGCTGTACCTATATCTTATACAGTCACGAATTATTCACGACGCACGTGTTTCTTGTCCTACAGGTTTGAGTGCCCGTTGATTGATCACTTGTGTCGACGCGGGAGAGTGACTTTTCTTTTTTCTTTTTACAAATTGCGTGTACACTTATAATTGTCACTCATTGTTTTTTATATAACTATACTTAAAAAACTAAAGGATTATGGTGATCGTATCTTTAAAAAGCTTTCTTTTTTTTCCCCCTATTTTTTTTTTTCAAGAAAGTTCAATGGACACAAATAAGTATTTATGTTACTACTTCGCAACAAAAGCGGCAAAATTCGCTAGCGGGCATTTAAAAATTCCAGGCACGTATGAGAACACAACGATTCCTCCTTCTCTGTATCTCTTGATGCCACACTCGTGGGTATTAAGGCACGTGTACACACGAGACCAAGTAAATCGCGGAGGAATTTCGTCTTATCGCGAACAAAAAACAAGAGAAGCAAACGCCTACCCGCCTTACAAAGTTTAAGTTTATTATTATGTAATATGCGAGAGAGGATTAAAATTTGTTACGTGTTAGGGAATGAGATGAAAAAGGAGTAGCTCGGCTTTTCCTTGTTTTTATTTCTTCCGTACAGGACTTGTTTTCTCGATAATACACGTGCAATGCGGACTCATGCGATATCGGCAGTGTTCTTGTATTGATTTGTGCTTGATAGAGTATGTATGTATATGTATAAAATAGAGGAGAAAAAAAAAAATACTATTGAGAGGGTATACGGCGTATTGTGTACATATAGTGACACAGCAGAGAAAATTTTGGCAGCTTGTGCTCATCTTTTTTTCTTTTTTTTTTCTGAATTGTACGTTTGTCGTCTCTGACTGCAGTGTAATCATTGGTCCATATTTGTGTTTTGTGAAATTGAATGTGGTTTTTACATAAGGCTACACATTTTTAGATGATAGAAGGAACTTCATTATTAAACGTAATTGTTTATAATTGTTATGTTTTTGGGTGCAAGACAAATTTTTAATCTAATATAAGTGTGATCACATGTGTAATCGACTCTTTGTAGGTAATTAAGTTTCTAAACGTCACTTAAATCGATTAATCCCAAATGCGTTTAGTATTGAAGAAGTTGATATTCTGCAACAAATTTGCCCATGAAAAAAATGTTGTGCATTTAAAAAAACTCACATTTCAGGTTCGTACGTTTATATAGACTTAGTTAAAAAATCATTTTCCAAAACCTTATTTTTAACGTCTTGTTTTAAGTTATACATTTTTGCTCTGGCGATAAACTTATCAGATGTGGCACCTCATACGCAAAGGCATAGAGTATTTTTTAATTAATTCAAATAGGTAATAAACTTCTTTGGCCTTGAAGGCCTAGACACATGATGATGTAGGTATATGGGACACAGCTGAGATAATATTTTAAGCAACAGACAAGATACTCTTTCGTATCGTTATAGGTACTATGAAAGTGAAAAAAATGTAACTCATCAGATTTGATGCGAGTGTTAAAAAAAAAGCTACTCTCAATTTGAAATTCAAGATCAAACAATCAAGCTGATGTCAAATTGCAGGCAGATGAACAAACGAAAACACAGGGACGGTGGGTTGCGGCGATAAAGAGTTGCTTGTGTCAAAAGGGGATGGGTGGGTGGGTTACATGTATGATTGTGTACGGTATACCAGGACAACTAAAGGAGAAGAGTTCAGAGTTCAGAAGAGTGGCTCACACGCGGCGCCGCGCTCTTCCTGACGCGCCAGTAATACATGTATACCTATACGTGTATACTTGCACACACGTTGCCGTGTCTATACATCTACATGACAACATGTTCATATCATATAATACAGCATATACAGCATAAAGCGCGCGACCGGCAAGCAAGCGAGCAAGCCTTTGTGTGTAGCGAGACAGAGATGGAGTCACACAATATCGATCGCATCAATCTGCAATTCTTGTCATGCCAGGAGCCTCGCAGCAGCAGCACCCTGGCGAGAGAAATGGGCGTATTCTGTAATATGGGGTTTCAACCCCCTAACCCACCCTTCAATTCATTATTATTATTATTATTATTATTTTTTTTTTGCAACTCTCCTTTATTGTTACACATTTTTTGTTTCTTTTTCAGTAAGTACTTTATTTACACAACTACTGTACTCGTGCGCTTACAAAGTTACAGTAGCACGTGATGAGCTCTATCATGTCATTATTGATGCAGATGATATTGCATAGAGAAGGTGTTGAATATATATATTTAAATGTATGGTAAATGGTTGTGTAGTAGACGCAGAAGTCAAGAGCTGAAGCGAGAAACACGTTGGGTGGTCCCATCTATATAGTATTGTTCTTAATTAGGCTCGAGAGAAATATCGGACGAGGATTAAGTGTTGTGAAAGATTTTTATAAAATAATGCTTGTACCAATTCATTTTGAAAGTAATGCTACGATGAAGTTAAAAGGTGTTATGCAGGTTACACACATGCAAATCATTTTACAAAGCAGAATAATCATAATCCTTTATTAAAAAACATTGGTCCGGCACCTGCACGAAACAAGTTACCAAAGGTATACAAAAACTTTTCGGAATTTATACGGCTCCCGGAGAGTCATATTAGCCTCGTTTCCGAATAACGTTTTGTAAAAAGTTTCCACTTTGCAAATGCTAAGCAAAAAAAATGGGGATTAAAAAATAGTCGGCGGCGAACCTAACCTCAAAACATTCCGGAGTCGAAGTAAGATCGGAGCATTCTAGCGCGGCAGCAGACTCTGCAAAGATAAAGGAGATAAAGAACAACAGCACTCCTATCTCCTATATGCTTATGCATATAATAGTATCACGAGCAAAGAGGATCAGATAAAACGACAAAAAACATTTACCCCTCATTAGCCGCAATTCATTTTTCGATTTTGCCAAACTAAAGCAACATTTCTCTCTTTGCTCGCAACAACGATCGTGTACATAAACAATATACAAACACAATGCTCATCCCGAACAATAAATTCACATGTACGTGTACGTGCAATCGAACTATTCGAAAACACGAGAATAACAAAAATTTATAAAAATCCTACCATAAATTCGCCATTACAGTGCTTATCAATGGTTTCGTAAGTTATCAAGACTATTGTAATGATGTTACGATTGTAGGTTATGGTATCTAACTCCACAGCATCCCAGTAGATAAGTACACATCATCTATCTCACCCTTTCACGTTATGGCACACGATAACGACGATAGTATTCTCTCGCAGAGAAAAGCCGCGTGCACGTGTATATGAAAAATGTATTACATTATTTGCTCACAACTATCCCTCTCGAAAACAAGTACTCCAGCTCTTGACGATTAAGTATAATACTCATGTATGGAATTAATGTATTATGGGCTATGATGTGTACTCTGCATACACGAAGTGTAAGTTACGCACCGCAGGTGTTACGAAATTCAGAGCACGTATAGATCTTTTGGGAAGTCGCGATGAATATGTGCTCCGAAATCTCCTCTCCCTCTGCTTCCGCAGCTTCCAAAGATGCTGATTCAGCTGGCGTCTGTAATATATACTTCGAGGGGGTGGATTCTGCGTTTTATCAACACACACACGCGCGTTCACACACTCGCGGTGAATTAAAAATTATCAGGGGGCACGCAAGCGCTGCTCGGCGTATTTTTTACATCGGCACAGAAGACGCACTCGGCACTCTGCTGCACCAACAGGCCCCCCGCCCCGCTGATTTCATCCAAAAAATCATAGTAAAAAAAAAAAAACACTCACGAGCAGTACCACTTGCTTCTTCCTCTCTTTATCGCGCTACCGCAAGTCACACTTCCATCAGGTTGTATCGTTCGGCAATCATGAATATCCAACGCGTAACGTAATAACTCCGAAAACACTTGAGCATGCGTGTGCACCTTCGCAGCGGTGTATCATAATGCTCTTTGCAGGCACATATTTGTCGCGTTCTTTTTTTCTCTCTCTCTCTTCGCGAAAAGAGGAGAAACGGGGAACAAAAAAAAACAACGAAACGTCGTAAAAGTAGAGTGTCCCGACGCAGAGAGAGAGACTGCCGACGAGAGTGCCGAGAGACGTATACTATAGCTCGGCTAACAGAGCGCGTTCCTACATATTTCTCTCTCGCACCCTTTTTCGCTTCCCTCCCTTCCTCGTCCTCGTCGTCATCGTCCTCGTCACGCACACTTCTCTCTTCTTTTCGCCCATCCATACACAGGTATGTGTACAACGTTATCATATAAATATACATACACGTACTTTCTTGTGTGTGCCTCTCTTTTGTGACGTCACCGATTCAATACTTTTAGCGCGCGCGAGGGTACGTTACGTCGGGGGGAAGCTTATCTTTCTCTCTTTCTCCTCGTGGGTGGAACGAGGATAGTCAGCGATTGCGCGCTTATCTTCGAACGTTGAATTTGCGCGCGCATACCGACCGTACCAAGAACGAAACATCATCTTTTTGGAACGTTATTAATGAAAATTCGAAGCTCAAAAACTATAACAAATTGTCATCCTTAGTTCGTTTTTTAAGGGCTTGTTATCTTACAGGTAAATAATACAATTACTTACGGATGATAAGTTTTCTTTGTTTTCTTTAAACGACGCGATGAAACAGTTTAAGCTCCAGATCCATGTCCAAAAACCGTTTGGCACGTTTTTATGCGGTTCGCGGAGGTTGTTATTTTTTGATTTTTTTTTTTTAATTTGGGGTCGTGCGTCATCTCTGAAGCAAACTTACTAAAGTTAAAATTGATGGAATAAAAAAAGTCGCGCAGTGTAAAAACTTACATGTGTATTATCTGCCGGTCTTTCTACGGCGTAAGGTAAGTAAGAATACGCGAGAAAAAAATTAGAGCCCTCAAACTGTCAGTAGATGGTGCCACATTTCTTGTGTGGCTCGCTCGGGGGTGATTTACAGAGCGCGACAATTCGAATCGTCATCTTCCTGCCATTATTATAACTTCCGAACGCATACTCGTACAAATAGTAAATTTGTTTATTTTCCTAATTTCCAAGTATCTTATGAAAATCAGTTAATTTTAATTATTATTATTATTATTATTATTTTTTTTTTTTTTTAACAAAGATGATAGCACCACGATACAGAACAAGACATGTATTATTTAACAAAAGTAAACATTCATAATATGATGGTTGTGATGCCCGCAACAATACGATATTTGATATGTCATCCACATAAACAAAACGACGATCATACCGAAATGTGTGTACACCTCTACCACCTTACGATCATCCGGCACACCAATTTACCGAACGGTTCACTAATCAAACACGTGTTTTTTTACAGTATCATATAGGTATATGTAGGTATACAACATTACACACCTGTAACCAAACACACGTGCGTATACACGCGCAATACGAACACACGCAAGTAATAATCAGATGAGTAAGAACACGCAACTCGGGCTCGAGCTCAATTTTTATCTTATCACTCATAGCAAGAAGGTATGCTCGCGGCTCTTATCAACTCCCCGGGAGTGACTGCTATATCATATCTCCTATATATTACGCGTCGAGTGCCACACACACGTCGAGAGTATTATTCCGGCGCATATCGCGGAGTATCGCGGATTTCGCACTCGGTGTTGTACCTTATATACCATATATAGTTAGCCATGCGAAGGTTTTTCTTCGTTTTTCTTGTTCTGGTGGCACCCGCAGTTCTGGCGGCCGATGAGAAACTCAAGGGGGAGATAAAAGCCGAGGGTACGGGGAAGAACAATCCGGCGAAAATCAAGATTTGCGACGTGTGTAATTGCACGGGTGAGTGCGGTGGCAGTTTTTTTGTCTCCTTTTCTTGAAAAAAGTGAAAATTTACAAGTGTTTGTGTACATAGTTTTCAACTAAACTCGTGAGTACGCAAACCCTACGTTTGTTATTCTCAATGATCCGTGTCGATGACTATTCATACTAATCATCGTTTTGGAGTCACAGTCGTTATGTATACGTTAACACGTCGTAGGTTTGAAGTGTCGCTTCAATTAGACAACGATGTTTCAGTTTTGTTCATATCCAGTCGTAAATTTCGCGAGTACAACATTTTTGTGTAAGCGTATTGTCATCGAGATTTAGATAATCCACGCCCAGTATGCATTTAACATGATTCATCGGCTAAACTAAACGCTGAAAGATAACGCACATGTAGTCTCAGATGTAGGAATTTGATTTCCGATTCTTTTTTTTTTCCGTAGCATTGCATTTAATCGATTCTTATCGATAAAAGACAAACAATTTTTAGCTTCACTCGTTGACTCACTCGCAACAATCACCAATGTCAGGGAAAAGAGCGCAAAAAACAAAAAAAAAAAAAAAAAAAAAAACGTCTCACTTGAAATTACAGAAAAAACAATGGACTGCTCGAACCGGGGGCTGAACATGAGCGTGTTCGATTACGATTTTCCAGCGGACAAGCATTACGATGTCCTGGACTTTTCGCACAACAAGATCGGCCGCATAAGACCCTTGCCTACGACGCAAGTGTTCAAACTCGTGTTCCGGAACAACAATGTAAGCATCATAGATGACCACTCGTTCAAGCTCGTAGCAAACCTCACGGAACTCGATCTGAGCCACAACTCGTTGTCTTTCGAGTCGCTCTCGCCGCACGCGTTCAGGGTAAGATGAGGGTACATGACAAAACAAAAAACAACAAACGCCCACATTGTTCTCATTGCAGGGTCACTTTTCCTCGGAATCCTACGAGACGTTGAAGAAGCTGCGAAAGCTGGACTTGTCGCACAACAACTTCATCTCGCTCAAGCCAAACATCTTCGAGCATGTGACGGGCATGACGCATTTGAACTTGTCGCACAATCCCCTCAAAGTTTTCAATCAAATGTTGATAACGACGATCACCACAATCTCGCTTTTGGAGGACCTCAGTATGAGTCACTGCCAGTTCAAGAAGATCGACGCGACCGCCATGCGAATTCACCAGTGCGTAGAAAATTAAAATTTGCAAAAACAAAATATACACGCTCATGCATACCTGCTCCAACAAATCTAATGTGCGCAATTGCCATGGGTCCCTATAAGGAGGTTGAAGATCTTGGATCTGAGTTACAACCTGTTCCAAGAGCCACCCAACGTCCTCGAGGACGTCAACTCGTTGGAGAGCCTTATTCTCGACGGGAACCCGATCGTGAACTTGACGGCCGAAAATGGCTTCCCGAGCATGAAGAGCTTGAAGGCGCTGAGCATGAGCGACATGCCGAAGCTGGTGTGGATCGGTGAGGGCTCGATGTGTCATCTGCAGGCTCTGGAGTCGCTGAGGATCACCAACTGCCCGAACTTTACCGACATCGACGAGGACGCCCTTGCCCTGAAGGTACGAACGGCTTGTTATCACATATCCCAAGTGATGTGTATACGTCGGAAAACAAAATGATAAGATTTTTTTATTTTAGTCGTCGAGTGGAGGCACTACATGGCCGTTGATCAAGGCGCTCGACTTGTCCAACAATGCGTTGAAATATTTACCGGACAATCTGATAGCCCGATGGGACGACGTCAAACAGTTGCACCTGAAGGACAATCAGTGGCACTGCGACTGCGACAACCAAAATCTCGTGAGTTTATGCTTTTCGAAGTGAAGCTTCTTATGTATAGGGCCCTCGGTAGACGAAAGTGGGGGGAAACTTGGATATATTATGAGACCTTTTATGTTATAAGATCTTATGATATCTCTATGAGGGGAAAGCATCACGCTTTTTCTTTCCCATTTCGTACCTGTTCGTCCCCTCAACAGCGAGTAGTACCTATTATAGTATAGCGTATGCAATACATTAGGTACGTAATATTATGTAGTGGCGCGCACACGCTCTCTCTTTCTTTCTTTTTCTCTCTTTCTCTTTCTGTCACAACTATTATACACAATATGACGACCGACACGATGGAGTCGCAGTCCCGTCGATCACCGAAGTTAAGCAGCATTTGGGGCGACTAGTACTTGGATGGGGGTGACCGTTCAAGTCTGTCACAGACTATCGTAGACAACCAAAAGGGGCAATGCTAATGGCCAAATTATTATCTAAATGAAAAACTGGTGTATAAAAGCTAAGACAAGAAAAATGTATTTTTTTACCGAGACAGAATAGTTATCTCACATGTCGTGTATTTCTTCAAGATCGGCGTCATCCTGCCAAAGTACGGGAAGAAATTGATGGGCTCGGAAGCCTCGGAACTACGTTGCGCAGCTCCACCCGAGCACTCGAACCGGACCCTGGAATCATTGGCCGGATGGAAGCTCCGCTGCCCGGACATGTACGGAGCAAGGCCGGAACGCGACTCCGCTGTACTCATCGGTATGCTCGTCGGAGTTTTGCTGTCCGTACCGATCGTCCTTGTCTTCTTCGTGTTCTGGAAGAGGGGCTACTTTTTCTGCTCGACCCAGGGCCCGGCTGCCTTTTCGAGGGCGTTTTACAAGCGAACGCCACCTTTCGAAGATGACGTCTGAACAACTACTGCTCCCCCTTTTCGTGTATTTTTTTTTTTTTTTTTATACACGTCAAAGTAATTATTTTTTACATTTGTACATGTAGATTTCCACTAAGGTTTATCTGTATGCGTATTAATTAAGTCGGCACGCACGTGGCCCAAGCGTGTCATGTGTATGTATTTTGTGTACCTAGTCCTATACTGTATAGCTTGTGTTTTTTTGTCACGTTTGCTACAATACTTTTAGACGTTATACGATTTTATTCACCAATTATTGCCTTTAAAGCGTAAAATGTGTTAGATTGGAAGCTTTGTTGCTTTAAATTTAGAAAAAAAAACTTTTGTTTTCTTTTTTTTACGACCTTTGTTTATATTTATTCACATTATTATTAGATGTACACGCCGGTGATTATAATTAATTTAAACGAAAAGTCTTAATTGAGAAAAAAAAAAAAAAAAAAAATTGTAACTCTGTTTTAATCCAACAAGTATAAGTGAAGAAAAAAAACATTACTTACACGTTTTATGTTTTACGTCACAAAAACCTAACAAGAAACAATACCTTTAATCTGAAAATGAAATTGCCGGCAAAGAGTGCATTGTAAAAAAAAAAAAAAAAAAAAAAAAGAAAAAAATGCACTTCACTCCCTGAAACTGATCTTACTGTGATGTATCCAAAGTCCCTATGATTTAAAATAAAAATGCAATTGACCCAATACCAGTGAATATTCACTGATTCGGACCAAAGGAGGACAATCGCAACATCGGTACACGGGAGGGGCGCACAGGGAGGAAAACGGGGCAGTATACATAGGGCAAAGTGGGCGGGCTGACGCATAAAGCGGGTGCTAGATACGCGCCCAGCAGATTGCGGTGGCGTGCGCGAGCTCGGTAACGCAATTAGCCGGCCCGAGGCCTTAATTTACTTAAAACAAGCCATACACCATCGGTGACGGCTGATGCAGCTGTCGAGCCCTAAACGACGTATACCTATGGGCCGTCCTTCTGTAATACTATGTACAGGTACATCCACCTATACAATCATACACTCGTCGTACAGTTGTGTATATGTGTACCTGCATACTTATTACTGCAAGCTCTTTGTGTGCAGGTATGAGAATAGGCGAGCTTCGTTTGGATGGCCAGTACGATGGAGGTGTACGCGTAATTTTGTGGCTGCAGGATCATAGCCCTGATGCATTCGTTGTACGGTGTACATGGTGAGTATATATGTTTGCGTATGCAATACCTGCACGCGTAATTTGTGTGTACATTGCAGGTATACCAAACATCGTAGTAGCAATACAAAAAAAAAATTACAACAAAATTATAGTACATCTGTACATGGATAAGAATAAGTGGTTTGGCTATGACCAGCAAATTTGTGTATTTTTTCGATTTTTTGCAGTGCTGCAATGAATATACGTCAATATTTGCTAGATTTATGCGAAAAAGGTAACATTTTCAATCTAATGCAAACATCTACTATCTTCTTCATGGCGAAAAAAAAAGCTTACATTTTTTTACAAATGTTTAATATTGCTTGTTGTTTACCATATTTTTTGTTGTTGTTTATGCTATACTAGAACATAAAATTGATTCTGGTTGGATGCATCTCACTATAATTTTATAGTCTTTGATAAGTCAACACGTAGTTTGTCAAATCGTTGACTTTCCACTTGTGTAAATAAAAGTGCTCAACGAAAGGCAACATTGTTTTCTCAGTATTTATTAATTAAAGGTACATTTAAATTATTCGCATTGTCAGAGTTGCCAAAAGATGTATACTTTCAGATCCAGAATCACAAACTTAGTTGGTTTAAATTTAATTTTTTCATCACTTTTTTAACTTTGCTATTTAGACCATAGCATGAGGGTTACATTCTAGATGAATGTGTGTAATTAAAAAAAAAATATTTTAATTGCATAAGTAAAATGAACCGATTTTTTCAAAGCTGTGAAAACGTTGCAAGTATAGCATACAAACTAACTTTTTCAAAAAGTATAATAAATGTTATTTAAAGCCACAAAAGATGTATTATAGTTTTTCGAAGTCCATGACTGTCTCATAAGGGCATATTTTAGTAAAAATACACGCACAAATCGTACGTCGTCATCCAGCATATGTATGTATACGTTCGTGTGTACAACTATGATCGCAAGCTCATCGCTTCAAAAAGAGAGAAAAATACCCCCAAATAGTGAGCAATATGATATATAAATGCTCTCCTACCCCAAAATCCTTCCTCCTCGAGGGTCGCGCACAACACCTCGATTCAACACTGCTTCGAAATAACACGGAGACGCGGAAAGATGGAAAAAAAAGCTTTTGTCCCACAGTCGCAAACACACACATGTGCAGCTTCTCTACCACCTGGTGCAAGCTTGCTCCGCTTTCGAGAACGGCCTCTTTGGGCATTATAACAACACCCACACGTCATGTGCTTAAAAAGACAGCAGACAATATACAAGTATACCTACAGACAGTATGTATTATGGTATGTAATAAACCAAAAGCATTGGAGAAACGGAGAGCGAGAGGGACACAACTGCTCCAACGACGTATCGCCGCGCCATAACCTATACACTCAAACATTTATATTGCATCATGTATATATACGCGCGCGCTTTCGCCATGGAAACCGGGCGACGCCTCGTGTCCCATCCCGGTGCAAAGCGACGCCCGACACCCCGAGCCCGACCAATCGCAATTCCTCGCACCCCCACCCCGGGCCGCCGAACCCTTCCGCGCGTCGCAGCCGGATGCGCGCGCCGCAGGGGTGGGGGATTTGCGAACCCAACCCCTCTCCTGACCCCGGGGCCGCGCAGATTATTATTATTATTATTATTATTTTTTTTTTGCAACTCTCCTTTATTGTTACACATTTTTTGTTTCTTTTTCAGTAAGTACTTTATTTACACAANGCACCCCCACCCCGGGCCGCCGAACCCTTCCGCGCGTCGCAGCCGGATGCGCGCGCCGCAGGGGTGGGGGATTTGCGAACCCAACCCCTCTCCTGACCCCGGGGCCGCGCAGATTATTATTATTATTATTATTATTATTATTTCCACCGCGGTAAATCGACGAAAGGGGTTGTTGACGCGCGCCGTTATCGTTTTCGGCCGCCGTTGCGCGGTGACGATAGTGCGGCTAGCTGCGTGTATGCGCTCGTCTTTGGCCAGGGAGACGAGCACGTGATATCGAGTGTGTGACTATGGACGATCGCGGACTTTTCGCCCGCGAATCGTGATGCGGTGATGTTGTTCATGGAAAACGATGGGAGTGTCATTGTGCAATAATTGACCATACGGCGCCGAGTGCTGTGTGAATGTACGTGCGTGCGTGTGTGCGTGCGTGTGCAGTTTAAGGAAGAAAGATACAAGGGTTGTATCCGTGGAACGGTCAAAGGGCAAATATATTGTTGCGAGATGTCGGTTCTGGTGGATGAGCTGTTTCGATTCGTCGAGGGCCACTGGACTTTGTTAACGAGGACGTGATTGATCAAGGTAACGTGAGAACATTATCTTTATTTCCTGTATTAATTGTGATTGAAAAAAAAAAAAAAAAAAATCAAAAATATGCTCATAGTCGCATCAGGTGTGTACGCACATGCATACACGCGCGCAATCAGTAGAACAAACCCGTGATTCGGTCAGACAAACTCGTCTGCTGCTGTATGCTCTATTCCTAACCCGCGACAACGTAGGTATAAGTATCTTGAATTTCTCACGCAGGCCAGGCTCGTTTCGGAGCCATGCAGTCAACGACGACGGCGTGCCAGCAGCAACAGCAGCAACAACAACAGCGGCAGCACAATCAGCACCAGAACGCGAGCTCGTCGAACAACCGCACGTCCTTCCTGATCGAGGACATTCTCAGTCGTGGCGGTACCACCGTCACCGCGGCTTCAACAGTCGGCACGGGCTCACTTTCCGCTCACCATCACCACCAACACCAACATCCCACCTCGCCCCAGGCAAACAACGGCCACCCGCTACACCAGCACCCGTCGGTTCACCATCACCATCACTCCCTTGTCTCGGCCGTCGCTGCCAGTCAAGCTCAACACCACCACCACCACCACCAACAACAGCAGCAGCAGCAGCAGCAGCAGCAACAACAACAGTACCAGCAGTTTGCTCTGAACAACCTGCTGCCGGGCTACCCGACGGCCACAGGGCCACCGTCAGCTGCAGCCGCGGCCTTCTTTCTCGGCCCGTTGTTCGGCGGTGCGGGCATGGGCGTGGGCGTCGTACCCGGGGTCAGCGAGCTCGCGGCCCTCAAACACTGCCGGCGACGCAAGGCCAGGACTGTAAGCGTCAGCTTTTTTGTTTGTTCATGCTGTGCTCCACTTTTTATTACCAAGGATACAGTAACAATAACGACAATGGTGCAAGGCCGATCGTCACTATATATATATGCGTGTGATTTTTCGTGTAGGTGTTTAGCGACCAGCAGCTGGCCGGGCTGGAGGCGCGCTTCGAGGCTCAGCGCTACCTGAGCACGCCCGAGCGCGTCGAGCTCGCCGCGGCGCTCCACCTGTCCGAGACTCAGGTGAAGACGTGGTTTCAAAACCGGAGGATGAAGCACAAGAAACAACTGAGGAAACTCAATAGCAACAGCGCTGGTGGTGGGAGCAACGGCGCCGCTGGGGCTACGAGCGGGAACAGCACCGGTCAAGCGGCCGGACAACAGAGTACCGGGGGGACGTCGACTGCTTTGCCTGCTGGTGGGTGTATATTTACAATGGCTCTTAATTAGTTGTTTTGGTGGAGGAATTTTTTTTTTTACTTTCTTGGTTGTTTGTAGTGAAAAGCTCCGCATTCCGGTACATCTGTTTATAATCGAGACGATTATTGAGTAAATTCGCGGAAAATCCTTTAAACAAACATTTGCTTTGTCCGTTGCTATGTTAATTTTTGTTACTCGAAGGCATTTTTTTCTTTTGCAAGTGTCCATAAACAATTGAATCATTTTACCAATTTTTTTATAAAGTATTGGTAAAATCATTTAAAAAATAAATCGGATGCAGTGTGACATGTTTGTTTTGTACTTATATTTAATTCACGCATTACCTCGTTCTCACGAGATTCGGCAGCGCAAGCGAATGATTTGTCCCACCTACAAGTACAACGAAATTCGTTCCGAATCGAAATTACCTGTAGTAAAAAAGTTATACGTCAGTCACTGCTCTGAAAAAAAAAAAAAAAAAAAAATTACAAATCACCTCGCTAATCCGAATTCACCGAGTATTTACGCGATGATCGTGCCGGGAGGTAAAGTTAATCCTCCAAAAACAGCGCAAGCTCGGAACAAAATTAACGTTTAAAAGGCCAATTTGCAAATAACGTACACCTCCGCCCTAAAAACATAAGCTCCGCGGCTGTTGCCAACTTTTCGCCGCTTGTATAGCTGTGTGTGTGGTGTTCGAGAGAGGCGGTAATAATCCCCAAAAATCAAACTCCACGTTGCTGCCGGCAACTGAAATATAACGCATAAACCGCTCATTAAATAGTTGCCTTCCCCGTTGTATAGCTATATGGCCATGTTGTACGTACCTATGTGTGTACCTTTGGACGTAACAGTTAACCCATGCACGCGCACACAAGATGGAAGAGGAGCCTCGGAAAAGGGAGAGACAGTAGTTGCGGTTTTCGCACGCCCGGAAATTTCGCCGACAATATAAATCACTTAAGTTCGAAGAGCGCGGCAAAGGGGGCGGGGTTTGGGGGGAAGGGAACTCCTGTTGTCGCCACAACAGAGGATTTCGCCATTATCGAACGCGCACGGCTTTTCACTCGCCCGCGTCCTCCCCGATTCACTTTCGGAAATCGCTCGAATTTTGGGATTTTCGCAGCTAAACTGCACCAGTATACACAAAGTTTGCTAATTGGACGGGGAATGCTCGCTACGACGACAAGGTTAAATTCGTACGTTGGCGTTTGATCGTTTAACGTTTTTCATTGCATGTCCCTGTTCTCCCTCGGTCCAAGCGCTCAAAAGCTCATTCTTGCGTATCAGCGGATTTATTACATTTTTCTATGCTCCTCCCTCCCCATTGAGTCGTAATTTTGATTTAATTCCCCTCAGTGAAGCTGCTGTTCATCCCTTGGAAAAAGTTGGCGACACACGCCCAAATGAAAATTTTAATCAGCTCCGCGTATAATCTGTAAAGTCGGGCTTTTTTCTTCCCCTCCCTCCCCCCAACCTTTCGCGTGATCACTGCTCTTTTGCCCGCGAGCTGGCAAATCCCCAACAAAAACCACTTGCAAGCTATCACCAGTGGATTACGCTTTGCAAGCTCGAAAGCGCTCACGAGAAAGGCACCTCGTAGCACTGGCTATACGAGCGGTCGATCACGAAAAAAAAAAAAAAAAAAAAATACAATCATGATAAAAGAGGACGGGGGTAGAAAAAATATCGTACATGCGGGCCGCAATTGTAAAATGGCGTTTGCCGGCTTGCAAGCTCTGCCTCGGGAGAAAAGACGCGAGCGGAAAAAGAGGGAAGAAAAAAAAAAAAAAAACAACTGAAGGGAGCGATGCAGGGCGCACGCGCGGTTGTCTCCCCCATCCTGTTAACTCCATCCCCGTGTACCTATATATATGTATACTTGTATGCCGAGGTGTATGAGTACAAGGTACGGGAAATTATACGCGACGTCGCTCAGCTACACGCGAACGAGCTAATTTCAGCTAAAGAAGAGAGGGAACTAGTTTACCTTAAATACACGATATTATGTAGCTACAAAGAAAAGCGGAGGGGTAGCTATTCCGGCTGGAATGATCGAAGCTCGCGACAACTTGCTCGTAAATTCGGTGTAACAAAGGACCGTAAACGTATAGAGGTGTTCCGGGACACGTTCTGCTTTGTTTCGACCGCGATGCTTTGCCACAAGCGCTTTCGTGTAAAATTCTGTAACAACATATTGTGTTTTTATCGCATAATTGATGGTGTCGCGTGAAAAAAAAAAAAATCCATCCACGTAACAGATAAGCTTTCTCGAGCTCCACCGGTATATCCTCGCGTACGTCACCGCAAGCTCTCCCGCATTACTTTTAGCATCGAATGCTCGACCCGCGCGACTTTACGTACAGATACAGGTGCTTCAAAACCCTTTTTCCTAGAGTCAATGCCCGACGAATTCGTCGGATTCACCTGCTGCATATATGATACTACATAACATAATGTTATGTACCCACATCTACTCCCCCCGCGCCCAAGCACATCCATAGCTCTTTGAGGAGCAGCAGACTGTGACGATATAGCAGCCACTTGTCGGGGCCAAGATGGCTTCTATCGCGAGCTCCTTGGTGTATATACCCGTATAGGGACTAACAAAGTTAACCCCCGGCGTCTTCGGGGCACCCCTTCTCTCCACTCCACTTTCTTAGATGGTACACAGAGGCGGAAGAAGCCTCTCTCCCCGAGAGATACTGTACTTGTAGGTATACATGTAGGTACGCGTGTACCCGCGCACAGTAATATATATGTATGTATAGCATGGCTAAGGAAATCGAGCACCATCTCGGCTACCTACGAGATACACACTTGGGTACGACGTACTCGTACATACACACCTGTACATAGTAGTTGTAGTAGGGGTAGTCCTCAACGTCTTAAAGCCCCGATTCCGGGGTCTTCGGGAAAATTACTCAATTAGATCCTCGTCGTCGTCGTCGTTCCTGGACCCCTAAGTGCCTCGGACTATATTACCAACTCTACGTTATTATTATCCTTACGTAAAGGTATATGGGTGCAATAAATTTTACCAAAGAGAAAAAGAGTACTTGTATAGTACTCATTGTACACGAAATGACAAAGAACAGTTCCCTCCTCAAGGATAGGTGGTCGAGAGTTGTTTGAGTCATCGGATATAGGCGTAATATTCCTTCAATGTCATTTATTTTACGTAATTGCCTGTAATTGGGTAATGTTTTCGTGTAAAAGGGGAGGAAATTCTTCATATATGGCCCTTGCTTGGCAAAAGTTGCACCAAATTGTAAAAATGATGATAAAAGTATACCAGAGCCAACAAAAACCCTTGCACGAATTAACTTGCAGAGCGTCCAGTCGACTTCTCGCTCGGCGGTGGTCGCGAGAGCCGTGGTTCGAGCGACGCGATGGCCGACGGTTCGGACGACGCCTCAGACGACGAGATAGACGTGCTGAACGACGACGAGGACAGCCCGACCGGCTCACAGGATGGATCGTCGGCAACGCGGCCGCTCCTCCAGAGGCGCGTCACACCCTCGCCGATGCCTCTGTGCGCGCCGGCCAACAGCACAACCAAGGATCACCACGCGCTGCATCACCACCACCACCACCATCCGTCGCATCATCATCAATACCAGCATCACTCGTTGCAGCACCACCAGGTCATTGGTTTGGCCCATCTGCAGAGGGCCCATCATCGCTGATTTGGCTGATGATCGGCCCCGATGATGTCATCGGAAAAGGGATCCGAGCTTCCGAGTGAGCGCGATATTTCGTTGTGATACTTTGCGTGTGTACTCTGATTGAGGACTAATAGGACGATTTTCGGTGTGTCGATTATTTATTGGTGTTGAGATAGAGTCGTGTTGTGTATCGTTTATTATTTTATTATTTTACTTTACGTGCCAAGTATTGGTTTGCAGATCGAATATTACCAGTCGGCGAATGTTTACGTGTTGTACATAGAGCTATCCTTTTACTTTGTTTTTTTTTTTTATTTTTCCAACAAAGTATCATAAACGTAGATAATTGTATATGATGATTAATTCAATGGTCCAAGGTATATAGTTACGTATTGTATAAAACAAAAGAGAAACGAGTTAAGCGCACAATCGTTTGTTGTAGGGCTGCCGTAGTTCGATTTCCGATGTAACGAAGAGACTTAAATACTTATAATGATTCGTTACACGATTGAGTGCAAATTTATAGAGAATCGATAGTTTTCGTTGCCTATCATGAATATACATATATTGATAATGCGATCTGAGGCGATGCTATACTTATATAAATAACGGACATTAATTTGCGAAATAGGTTGTAATCGGGACGATTATACACATGTTATACGTATGGATACGTACACGATTATCAATGTGATTCCTGATAGAGACGGGATTTCTTACGCAAAAGTAAAAGAAAAAGAAATCATCCGTTCGATGTAGGTATGTATACGCCCAGGAAGCTCCGGTGTAAAATTTGGATTGATACGGATGTATTGGAGAAAAAAAAAAAAAAATAATAATTAAACCTTGTAAATACTTGTGCACGAATCACGTAACAAAAAATGTCGTGTCCTCGCCGTAAGAAAAAAAAAAAAAAAAAAAAGAATAATGAGGCGTCAAACGTTATGTATAGCGGAACCGTATGCAAGCAACAATATATTAATAATAATCAAACATCTTAAACAAAAACTGTAATCTCACTTTCCCTTTTTTTTTTTTTTTTTAATATCTCATACACACCTTTCACCTACCCGAATTCTGCAACCTCCGACGCACGACGAGTCCCGCGCAATTAACTTTTCCCGTAGATTCGCTAATGGACGAGTCGAGCGGCGTGGAAAAGTACACACGTAAGGGTGGAATCGCGCAAAGAAGAAAGCGACAGACGCACAAGGGGTTGGGGGGGGGTAGAAGGTAGAAAGTAGAAAAGGGGCAGTCTCGCTGTCGCGATAACGACGGCGAAAATGTAATTTTAAGCTTTAAAGCCGTGTCGGCCGGTCGATCGGACCAACACAGCGGCGCGTCGAGGCACTCCCGGGGAGCATTATCCCCCGCTAATTGGCAGAGAAGCCGAAAGCCGATCGACTCGCTGTCGCTTTCACGACTTAACGAGCAGACTGGCTCTGTATGTATTATAATACACGCCACATTTTTTTCGCTCTTCAATTTTAAATTCTGTTCGTTTGGCTTTTGTACAATTTTTGTTTCCGGCGCGAGCATCGGAGGTAGAGATGTTCTTAGGTTGGAGGGAAACAAAAAACTTTCAACTTTGCTCGTGATGAATGGCGGTGTTGCGTACAGGTGCGTACAAGTTTGTAGTAAGTATGTTCCACCCTAAACCTTTCAGCCGAGGGAGAGGCACGAGATATGCGAGGCCGAGAGGATATAAAATAAAAATAAAAAAAGAAAACTTGTCTTTGGGGAAGGGAAAAAAAAAATGACTTTCACGGATATGGAAGCATATATACATGGTGTAGTGGGCGCTCTTTGAATAATACGCATACTCACGTGTATGCGTATACATGTGCCACGTGCGCGCGTCATGTATTTCGAGGATGAGGGATAGGATGCTCGAGTGCTCCGCTCGAAGCGGATGTCTGGGCGAATCCTAATACCCGGATAATGGGAGGTAATTGCAAGGGATCAGAGGCGACCGAAGCCACCATACTACTATACTATACTGCCGCTATACTCGTACTCGTCTCTCGTCTCGTTTCGTGCCATTGCCACCACAGATTTTCAAGCACATATAGGTACCACGTCTGTGTACTGTGGATAACGTATTGTTCGAGCCAGAAGTCGAGAATTTCGCGACGGGCAATATTAATTATTGACAATAATAATTGTTTCATTATTATGATTATTATTATTATTACTATTTACAATGAATAGTTTTGTCATTGTATAATTCTGGATTGAAAATATTAAATATGCATTGAACAATTTTCAGGCAAAAAAAAATCATAAATTTAAATTCTGATGATGTTTAATTTGCTAAAATTTATTGACTTTTATTTTAGTTCAATCTAAAACATATATCGATTGGCCATTTACTATTTTTTCTAAAGTTTCTCTTTTCAGTCAAATATTTTTTTCAACAATAAAACAATAATTTCATCTAATTTTTGATAAACGAATTAAATTGTTCGAAACGTAAACTTCCCAATTTAGTTACTACATCCAATTATTATTGGATACGTCTGCCATTACTTTATGACCATTTAATTCCCCAAAATTCACGTGATGTTTTTCGCGCCGAAATAATCAACTCATAAAAAAATGAAAAAAAAAACTGAAAAACTATGAAAAAAAAAAAAAAAATTCAGTAGCCCCTTCACCACGCTGGTGTAACAATAATAGTTGAAATATTCATCGAGTTAATGGGGAAATCATCGATCGAGCAGATCCATCACCGTCATCGCCGTGTATAACCCTTGGTGCTCCGAAAATTTTATCTCTACAAAATTCACTCGCACGCACGTATAACCAGCACGGCTAAAGCGTTTGACGATGAAAAATCAAATCTACAGTGCGTATGTATGTATGTATAGCGTCCATAAAAGGCAGGGAGTTGGATAGCAGGAGGAGGAGGGGGAGGAGCCAATTACAGTCACTTTTTATGCATTTGGAGGTCAATCAAAGTCCATTGTCGCGCCGGATAATCCAAAGTCTCGCCCCTCGAGCGGAGGGTAAAAACAGCCTCGCAAAATCGATCGGTTCGTCACCCAATTGGGGGAAGGGGGGGTTCCTCGACTCTCAATTTAACATTCCCTTGCACACGACAAAATTTATACCAATCCAAACTCTTACAAAAATATTCTATACCCGTATACAGCATACATATACAGCGGGTACACATATACCTACCCCCTGATGATGTAGCGATGGGGTAAGCGAGTGCGCCTGCGCCACGTCTACCGAATCCACATCCATGAGTGATACAGGGGGGCATAAGTACATACCTATACGTATAGAGACGGCAACCAACCACCACCACCTATAACATTACACTCGTAGAATCGTAAATTAGCTTTGGCAAAAGGCGGAGCTTTTCGCTCTCCCGCGCGACTCGCGTATATAATACACCAAAGCGGAGCAACGGTCGGGGCGGAGCAGGATGGCGATCACGGGAGGGGGGTAATTTCGAAAGGGGGAGATTATAATTGACGGAATAATTACGCGGGCTCTACGTGTACGTGCGGGGGAGTGTCGTCATCAAATTATCAGAAAGGTTGAAAATAAAAAAAAAAACTCTTATCCGCGGGAAGAGAATTTTTTTATACGTATCAATCGAGGTGCCGATTGTTCGCGATGTGTAACTTTGGGGCACGTTTCGAGTACACGTGTGGGCCCGTAATCAAAATTTACCGTGTGTTTTCGAAATCGGAGCATGAATTTTGGGGTCTCCTCCAATGGACAATGGCAACCAATCTAAGTGCGCGTCATTAATTGCGATCCCGAGCACCAAAAACGCGAATGATCCGCGGAACCTGTGCGCAACACACACACACACACGGGCGAGGAATAATCGAGCCAACGCGGCGCCGCTCGGTGTATAATTCCCTAACTCAATTTTCCGCACCTCGCGCGCCTCTTTTCGCGCCTCGTCTCTCTGAATAAAAAGCGGAATGAAAAAAAAAAAAAAAAAACCACCAGTTTCGCACCAACTGCGATACTGTATATAGAGGTGAAAAGCTCGCGAACGTATATACGTATATATACTTACACACGTGTCCTCTACTACCGGAGGTATATATAATCGCGTTATCGGGGCAAAAATCACGCGTCTGTTATTTTATGCGCGCCCCGTGCGTGCGTGTGTACACGCCTACACCCGTATAGATATGGGAGCCCTATACGTTACACGTGACGAGGGAGGATGAGCCGAGAGGGGATGATGAAAAAACCTTTTGTGAAGTGCGCGCGGCCGGCATATTGCGCTTTAGGGGAGGATTTCAAAGAGAGCCCGGGAGGACTTTGTTTGGAGGATTTCTTTTTTTTTTCTTTTTTTTTTCTTTTATCACAGATATCTGTACATATTTTCTCTGATGGAAGGAGGGACGCCTGGCTATTTTGCCTCCATATTCTTCACAATGTTGATTTATTTATTTATTGCCTATAGCGACCGTATGGCGTGAATTGTTTCATTTCACTTTTTTTCTTTTCTTTCTTTCCTGCAGCTTTATTTTTGATAATTGGGTATTAACTATAATTATGGGTATATCATACTTCATATTTTCTATTAAATGCATCCAGCGTACGTGTAGTTTCATCATAAATAAATATGTCAAGTTTTAGATTTCGATCTTTATAAGAATAGTTTTTTTGTCAGCCAATAGAGAATAATCGTTATTTTGACAGGAAAAAAATAAAATGTTTCTGGATAAAAAATGAAATTGTTACCAATCACACGGATGTGGAAGTAATTTATCACCCTTGGCAAATGTTTTTACATAGAATTTCAATGAAATTCCAAATAATAAATATACATAAAGAAAGGTTACATGAATATAACTACACACGAATTTTAACGTGCAAATAGACATATCTGTGAGAAACAATGTCGGGGCGACCGAAAATGGCGCATAATTCACGGATTCAGCTCTCGCAAAGCTCCCCCCCCCCCTCCCCCGGAAAACTTAATTAAACCCAAACTCTGTATTGTGCCCCAACAGGAGCACGATAAAAAGTCCAATTACCCG